ACTACTACTGCCGCTACTACTACTACTACTGCCGCTGCTACTACTACTACTACTGCTGCTGCTGCTACTACTACTACTACTAATAATAATAATAATGACCAACATCTTTAGTGGCGACCAAACTCCGACAAGTGTCCGCACAGAAGCCGTCGAATTTGAATTCTGAAAAAAAAAATAATAACAAGAACATTATTATTATTGTTATTATATTATTATTATTATTATTATTATTATTATTATTATTTCCGGGAGATTGGAGTTTAGATTAATAGGATTTTATAATTATTTCATTATTGATATTTGGTATTTGGAGTTAGGAAATAACAGGATGTTCTCATCATTATAATAATAATAATTATTATTATTGTTGTTGTTATTATTATTATTATCATCATCGTCATCGTCGTAAATAATTGCGAAAATATACATTTTAAATATAATAAATGATGATGATGGTGGTGATGATAATCGCGAGAAGCAAAAAAATTATCAAAAAATAAAATATCGTTATCTTGTCTTGCTTGCCATGGATGGATTGAAGTTTGATGGATCAGTCAGAGAGAGAGAGAGAGAAAGAGAGAAAGAGAGAGAGAGATAGTCTGAGTAAAAGCGTAAAGAAGAATGAAAAAGAAGAAAAGAGGGAAAGAAATAGAAAAAGAGAAAAAGAAAGAATGTTGAAAAGAGCGAAATGAAGACAAAAAAGGGAGAGAGAAAGGGGAAGAGAAAAGGAAAGAGAGAGAAAGAGGAAAAGAGAGAGAGAGGAGAGAGAGAGAGAGAGAAGATAGATAGAAGACAAGAAAGTGTTAAACTAGATAAAAGAATGTTGTTGCTGCGACTGACTTGAGATGAGGATAAAAAGAAGTTTTTTTTATAAAAAGTTACACACAATTAACAAAAGAATTCTCAACATACCAACAACATATTGCACAGACGCCCTCATACACATGTTTTATTATTATTATTATTATTATTATTATTATTATTAGTAGTAGTAGTAGTAGTAGTAGTAGTAGTAGTAGTAGTAGTAGTAGTAGTAGTAGCAGTAGTACCTACTAAAATTAGTAGTAGTAGTAGTTGTTGTTGTAGTTGCACCATCCTATTTTGAAAGCCTAAAAGATGAACACCCAGCTTAGCACAGCATGTGAATATGGCTGTGATTAATATGATAAGATAAAAAATTATTTTTCAGTCTTTCAACGAGTGAATGGAAGGAAGAAGATTTCGAAAAATAAATTAATAATCAAATAAACGAACGATTAAATGAATGAATGAATTAATGAAAAACCAAGTGAATGAAGAAATGAAAATATTACAAAAGCCCATTTTTAAGCAATGATATATTGCCAGTTCAATTCTCAACGCTAAGCTAAGCGTATAATTAAAGCCAAGCTCTTTTTATATTATAAATCAGGAAATAATTACGATCAAATGAAAGAGTGAGTGAGTGAGTGTGTGAGTGTGTGGTGTCTGTGAAAATGTTTTTAAAAGCCAAAAAATAAAAGGCATCTAAAAGCTCTGTGTGATTTAAGCTACCGAAGTATTGAAAAATTATAGATAATTAATGATTAAATAATAGTAATAATAATAATAATTTCAACTATAATTATAATAATTAGAGTTTTATAAAATTACCTGAAGCTAAATGATGAAACGTTTTTATCAAAATTATCATTCAAACTTCTTAATTATAAAAGAAAAAATGAATGAATCAATTAATCAATCAATTAATTAATTATTGTCGTCGAAGTTATCAATCAAATTTCTTAATTGTGAAATATGAAAAAAAGATGAACGAATGAATAAAGGAACGAATGAATGAAAAAAAGAATAAGCCTCATTATCGGCAGAACCTTTTTGGAAAACGGAGTTGAGAATCTCTTGCAGCTCGTAAGCATCGATCTCATTGTCAATTCCTGAAATTTTTCCAAAAGCATCCTTCAAAGCTGCAGTGGCCGCGTCATCTTCCGGTGTGGTTTTTGCGACTACTTCCGGCTGTATGTGTATTTGTGTGTGTGTGTGCGTGCGTGTGTGTGTATTTGTGTGTGTGTGTGTGTTTGTTTTTACCTCTGGTTCTTTGAGGCCTGTTTTTTCATCAATTTCTCTGAAAATATATCGATCATCATCATAAACCATCACCATAACTATCATCATCATCAACATCATCATCATCATCACCACCATCGTCATCATCATCACAACTTACTCTGACGGAACGGTCTTCTCGCTAAACATCCTAATAAGGAAATCGCCCTCTTCGTTCGGTTCAAAGGTCGAGGGTATCAAGCAGTAATGTCCTGATGATGATGATGGTTATGATGATGATAGCGATGATGATGATGATAATGTTGATGATGATGATAATGATGATGATAATGATGATAGTGTTGGTAATGAGTGGTACCCAAATGGCTAAAAAATGAGGAAAAAATGTCAAACGCTTTTCCTCTAATGATGATGACGTTCGTGATTTATGATGATTATTATGATTATGATTATTATGATTATTATTAGGATTATTATTATTTTTATTTGTTATTATTTTTATTTGTTATTATTTTTACCTGGCTTCAGTTTGTGCCTGCCGCATATTTCCCTGAGGTTGATGAAGTTGGGCGACTTCGCTAATTGCATGAGAGAAAAAAATTAATAATATTAATAAATAAATAAATAATAAAATAAATAATAATAATAATATAATAATAATAATATAATAATAATAATATAATAATATTAATGTCATTTATGAGCGCCCAATGCATAGTGGTAGCAGCAAGAGTAGTAGTAGTAGTAGTAGTAGCAGCAGTAGTAGTGCAGCTTCCATAAGTTATATCACTGTCGTACGTTATTCAATACTACTATTACTATTACTACTACTACCACTACTACTACTAATACTACTGCTACTGCTACTGCTACTGCTACTACGACTACTACTACTACTACTACTACTACTACTACTACTACTACTACTAACGCTACTATTACTACTACTACTACTGCTACTAACGCTACTACTGCTGCTACTACTACTGCTGTAGTTTTACGACGACGACTGATACCACTACCACAACAACTACTACTACTATTAATAATAATAATAATAATAATAATAATAATAATAATAATAATAATAATAATAACAAACTACCTTTCGATTCGTTGAATTTGAAAAAACGCATGTCAAGAGGCTTGCAGTTTGGATCTTTCAACTGCGTGAAAATAACAACAACAATAATAATAAGAAGAAGAAGAAAAAAAAAGAAGAAGAAGAAGAAGAAGAGGAAGAAGAAGAGGAAGAAGAAGAAGAACAGCAACAACAACAACACCACCGCTAACAACAACAACAACAACAACACTACCACCACCACCACCGCCAACAACAACAACAATAGGCCAACCTCGTACATGATGTAGCCGATTGTGAGCAGGTCGACCCCCTCCTTCTTGAACTTCCTCCTATCCTTCTGCATCAGTGCGATTATGACCGTGCCGAAATCATCATCATCATCCTCGTCGGGGTCAATGACCTCGAATCGGTATTGAGGATTTGTCCAGAAGGTGTCTGTTCGTTTGCGTCGGTGAAGTTGCTTGCGTCCGTGTGCTTGTTTGTTGGTGTGTGCGTGTGTGTGCGTGTGTGCGTGCGTGTGTAACCAAATTGCGTGCGTGTGTGACCCAATTACGAACCTAAATAATTTCTACAGCCTCCGGCTGTAATTCTTTTCTTCCAGCTTCCCTCCATGGTGGTCATCTGCCATTTTTGCCGAACTTTTCCGGACGAGACGATCTTCTCGTCTTCAAGCGTGTCTGGGGAGAGGTAGCAGAGTTCAAGTTTGGTGAAGTTGGACTTGAAGTCTTCGAACGACATCCTGTGATTAATTGGTTGGTTGATTAATTGATCGATCGATTGATTGATTGATGATAATACTCGAAACACATGACCGACCAAAACTCGCCATCTTTATCGAAGACCAGTCCCAGCTCCTCCTTCTCATCATCTGCTATCAACTTCCATTCTGGCGATCTGATAACAGTGACGATGATAACGACGATGATGACCATTGTTAAAATGATGATGATGATGATGAAGATCATTATCATGAACACTCACTGGTCACTCCATCGACCCTTCCATTCTGCCTCGTTCCCCCAGGGGTTTCGCATTCTGACCAATGGAATTTTCCCGGCTTTATTCGCGGTTTTTATGTCGACCTGAGTAAATGAGTGAATGAATGAATGGATGAATTAATGGATGAATTAATAAATAAATAGATAAATTAATAGATAAATTAATAAATGGATGAATGGATGGAAGCATTGACGAATGAGAAGATTTCAAATGTAACAATGAATAAACTGCTGAATGAATTATTATCAAGTTACTTAAAGAGCAAATGTGAATGAATGAACGAACGAACGAACGAATGAACAAACAAACGAATGAATGAATAAATGAACGAACGAATGAATGAACAAATGAATAAACGAAAGAACGAATGAATAATAATTATTATCATAATTAAAATTACTACCGACCATCTTAACTGAAGTTATGCTGTAGGCATGACCCATCACTAAGCCATTACTCAACTTGGATTCAAATTGTGTCGGCTCGGCCTAAGAAAGATGATGACGACGACGACGATGACGATAAAATAATAAAAATAATAGTAATTATAATTATAATTCTAATAATAATATAATAATAATTATTAATATTATTAAGAATTAAAGAATCAGCCATCTTCTTATCAGTCAGGCAATCAATCAACCAGCTAGCTAAACTATCAATCAATCAATCTATCAACCAATCTTTAATTCTATTTAATTCTTAATACTAACAATAATTATAATTATAAATATAATTATAAATATAATTATAAATATAATTATAAATATAATTATAGTTATTGCTGTTATAATAAGTTGCTTACGTCAATAGAGCAGCCCATTAAAGATTCGCGCTCGAACGATTTCAACATTATGGCCAATAAGTTGCTAGGCGCCTTAGGGCCCAGGTCAAAAAACTCAGCCACTCCTCCTGATAATGATCATTTAGTGGTGGTGATGATGACGATGAAGATGGTGGTGGTGGTAGTAGAGATGATGAGGATGTTGGTGATGATAATAGTTGCGATGATGTAGCGCTTGACTTTTTTTCTCCAATCTTCCGATGAAAGTCATTTCGATTGTATTCGTCTCCACCGAGGTGATATTAGTCATGAGTGTTTGAATGAATAAACGAATGAAGAAAAATAAGAAAAAAAGAAAAATTGAACGAATGAATGAAAAAATGGATAAATGAATGAACGAACAAATAAACGAATGAACTATTATCATTATCATCAATACCTGTAAAATCTTCAAAAGCTTCACTCGTGGAACCACCTTTCAATGACTCATACGAACCGACCAATCTGATGATGATAATTTCATTCACTCATTCATTCACTCATCCATTCATTCATTTACTCCTCCATTTATTTATCCATTCATTCACTCCTTCACTCTGACTTGGCATATGCTTTTTCGAGTAGAGAGCTCCAAAATTCATTTTTCTCCGTCGAATGTAAGAAAACAAGCTGCCATTGTAGGTAGGCAGTCTGAAGGAATGAATGAGTGAATGAATGAATGAGGGAATGAATGAGTGAATGAATGCATGGATGGATAGATAGACGGATGGATATATGGATGAAAAAAACAAGCGAATGAATGATTAAATGCAGGAACATTCGAATGAATGGATTAAATAACGAACAAACAAACATACAATCAAGCAAATAGACAAACAACCAACCAACCAACCAATCAACCAACCATCCAACCAACCAACCATCCAATCAACCAACCAACCAACCAACCATCCTAATCAACCAACCAACCAACCAACCAACCAACCAACCATCCAATCAACCAACCAACCAACCAACCAACCAACCAACCATCCATCCAACCAATCAAACAACCAACCAACCCGCCAATCAACCAACTATCCAACCGACCTGTCATCCACAACGATCTCCCTCCAGGCTCCAAAGACCCAGAAATTAAACTTGAAGATGCCGGCATAGCCCTCACCGAACGATTGACTGGATGGTATGACGTTTTCCATCAATTTTGGATATTGACTGAGACAAGCCAGTGCCGCTAGTAGCCAACAATCACCTTATTGATGGTGATTGTGATGGTGAAGAGGATGGTAATGATAGTAGTTATGGTGGTGGTGATGATGAAGATGATGGTGGTGGTGATGATGGTGAAGATGATGATGGTGATGATGAAGATGATGATGGCAATTAACGGAGATGAAGATGTTGGATATGATTTAGGGTTGGGTGATGATATATATCTACATACTTACATACATACATACATACATACATACATACATACATACATACATACATACATACATACATACATACATACATACATACATACATACATACATACATACATACATACATACATACATACATACATACATACATACATACATACATACATACATACATACATACATACATACATACATACATACATACATACATACATACATACATACATACATACATACATACATACATACATACATACATACATACATACATACATACATACATACATACATACATACATACATACATACATACATACATACATACATACATACATACATACATACATACATACATACACATACGTACAAACAAACATACACACCTAATTCTCCTTGTTTTACGTCAAACCTACTGGCCCCACCAACAAAAAATTCCGGAGATGTACCAGATCCCTCTAGGATTTCCTGAAATTAGGGAAAGTTGATTAGGGAGAATGGTGATGATTATGATGTTGATAATGGTGACGATGATGGTGACGACGATGACGATAATGATGAACAAAATTTAATTAAATTTATAAAAAAAAGTTGCTAGATGAAGAATATATTGGCAAAAAAAATTTTAATGTAAACACACACGCACACACACACACACATACGTACACACACACACACACATACGTACACACATACATACGTACACACATACATACAGACTGTCTGGATGAATACAAAAGAAGGATGTCCATTAAATAAGATCGCCACTACAAAAACAACCACAACAGCAACAACAAAAACAACAACAATAATAATCATCAGCAGCAGCAGCAGCAGCAGTAGTAGCAGCAGCAGTAGCAGCAGTAGTAGCAGTAGCAGCAACAACAACAACGTTGTCGTCATCGACATCGTGATTCAATACCATTGGTATTGAATCAATCATACAAATAATAGTTATAGTAGTAGTAGTAGTAGTAATAATAATAATAGTAATAGTAATAATAATAATAATAATAATAATAATAATAATAATAATAATAATAATAATAGTAATAGTAATAGTAATAGTAATAGTAATAGTAATAGTAATAATAATAATAATAATAATAATAATAATAATAATAATAGTAATAGTAATAATAATAATAGTAATAATAATAGTAATAGTAATAATAATAATAATAATAATAATAATAATAGTAATAGTAATAATATTAAAAAATTTTAAGTCATAAAAACCGCAAATGAATGAATGTATCAAGCTGTATGATTGGAGTATAACCACCGAATTCATTTTTACGTTTTAAAAAAAGGGAAATTAATTGAGTTAAAAATGAATGAAAAGAAATAAGTGATATATCAATAACCACAACAACAACAACAACAAAAACAACAACAACAACAAAAACAACAACAACAACAACAACAATAATAATAATAGTAACAGTTAACAACAACAACATTAACATTAACACAAACAACAACAACAACGACAACAAACATTAATAATAACAACATTAACAACAACAACAACAACAACAACAACACTAATAATGACGTCACAACCACCACCACCCCCAACAACAACAACGACAACAACAACAATAAACTGACTCCGGGTCTGAGCCACTGAAACGCTTTCGGGGCCGACTGGCTGAAGAAAATGTTGGAGTCGATCGCTGGGAAGTCTGGGTCCTCGAATAGGGCGCCATCTTTCAAACATTCAGCCTTTAGTTCATCGTATGTCTTACCTGATTTAGTTGTCGTTATTGCCATTATGGGAACGATCTTTTATTCAGCAATAAAGTCAATGGAAATGGCAGTACAAATAAAATGAAATAATGAAATCAAATAAAATGTCAAATGCAATAAATTGAGTATTAATCTGAGAAGCTCATCATTCGAATCGAGAGAGTACGACCAGAGTTAATTAGTTTTAAATATGATTCATTTCACATTTTGTCGTAATTTTGTTTGTTCCTTACCGAATCTGTCTTAAAACTTAAAACTTTAACTGTCACAAACCACCTCATTAGCTGGCAGCTTATTATTATGGTTATTATTATTATGTTTATTATTGCTATTATTGCTATTATTATTATGGTTATTATTGTTGTTTTTATTATTTTTCCAGGAAATGGTAGTGATGATGCTGGTGGTGCGTATCTACTTTTTATGATGACTCATGGTAGATGAGAAAAAAATTCTTAGCAATTTTTGTAATTTAGTGTTCTGATTGTTTATTCATTTTGTATTCGTTCGCTCCTTCGTTCGTTCTTTCATTTATTCATTCATTTATTCGTTCATTCAGTCGTTCATACATTCATTCATTCAATCGTTCGTTCGTTTGTTTATTCATTCACTAGTTTGCCAATGCATAATGTTCAATAAAGACATCGTCATCATGACCAACCACGACATCATCATCATCACCATCACCATCCTCCTCCTCCTCATCCTCATCATCATCATCATCATCATCATCACCTACCAGAATAAGTTTTGATAGGTTTTTTCGGCCCTACTAAGCCTTTTGAACTTTTGCCCTCTCCAAATCCAAAATTATAACTCGGGGTGTACCTGGATTTGAACTTATAACCCCCGGCCCCACTGCCAAAATCGGAACCAAAGTCGGTGCCGAAACCGTCACTGAAAAATGAAGAGGAACCGCCCCCAAATCCGAACGTCGTCCTTGTCGATCTGGGGCCAAATCCGTAAGAGGTAGTTGTCGTTCTGTACGCTGACATAATCAAGATGCCCGGATGACGATTGGGATAAGATTAGTAATGCAATGTTGACGTTGTCGCTGATGCAGTTGCTGTTGGAGATATCTTGTCGCTCGCGATGTTGATGCTGTCGCTGATGCAGTTGCTGTTGGAGATATCTTGTAGTAGTGGATGATGTTGTTGTTGTTGTTGGTATCTAATATTCGTCGCTATTGTTTTGTTGGCACTATAATATGGTGAAAAAAATCAATAATTCATACCACTATTAACATATGTTTATGTTAATGTAATGTTAATATTAATGTGACGAATATGTTAATTTGACATTACTATTGCAATGTAAAAGCTAATGATACGAAAATGCGATAGTAATAATACTAACGTAACAACTACTTAATGATACTATCATAGCAAATTATCAATAGTATCATAAATCGTAGCAGATACATAATGATACTATCACAGCAGCGAACTATCTATCAGAAGAAATACTTAACTGCAATAATACCATAAATAGAAATACGGAATAATACTTACTTAATAATTCTCACTAATCTAACAATGAAGTAGATTTGCACTTGAATAAAAATTTAGGAAAAATTTTGATAAAAATGGCGCGCTGATACTATAACAGAAAAAAATGAAACAGCCAAACAAAACAACAAAAATACACACACACATGTATATATATATATATTATTTATATATATATATTTATGAAATCTACAATATATATATATATATATATATATATTTATTTATTTATTCATTCATTTATATATATATATATATATATATATATATTTATATATAAATATATATAAATGACAAAAATAGCATTACATTAATTTTAGCAAACCATCCAAGCTGTAGATATACAGGATGCATGGTCATATGCATGTTGCATGCTCATATATACATGTTGTACGTATGTTGGATGGAGACCATATTTTATACATACAATAATGTATATGTATGTTTGTATGTGTGTGTGTTTGTGTGTGTGTGTGTGTGTGTTGGTATGTGGTAAGAAAAATTATTTATTTATGTACTTTTTATTACTTAAATTCTCACCAGAATATCATCTGTAGGCATATGTTATCTTTATTATATTTAGATATATATACATATGTTTGATATATATATATATATATATATATATATATATATATATATATGATACTACAAATATAATTATATATGATACTTTTCAATAAAGTACTTAAAGTTAAATCTTATAAACTATAAGTTTGATTGTTTTGTATTGTTCTGATTTTCTGAAATGTTATAGATTGTAGTTACAAAATGTGTTATATGTAAGTATATGGGCTGGGCCTATTGGTTTTACGGCGTTTAAACTCAAAAAAGAAACCCTGTAAAAAGTTTTTTATGTAAATTCACTTTTGCTTTTATTTACATTTGCGGGCATTTAAATTTTAAATGTTCTTAAAAGTGAATTCCGTATAAAATTACTATTCTCAAGTTTATGACTTCTAACGACTTCTTTAAGCAAGTTTATTAATTTCGATCTTTACAAAATGTTATTATTTCATTTCATTTAGCAATTTGGCAGCGTGTTATTAAAGAATAGCAATGATTTAATTACGAATTTTTGAATTAATTGGAAAATTAGCAGGGATGCACTTAGGAGTAAGAAGAGACCAACCTTAAACTAGAAAAGTCATTCCAGCATTTTCAATGATGAGTATTAACAACGTTACAATTTTGCCGTCTGTCGAACTGTTTGAACAAACATTTGAAGAAATTTTCAAAATTCTCGATGTGACAATTAAGGTGTTAATATTGTTGCATTCCATTAGTTTTAGTAGTTATTAGTATTAGTCTGGTAATTTATTTTATTTTTGAATTTATTATTGAAAATTGAAATCATTCAAAAAAGCATATGTTATAAATTTTATTAAAGTTCTATTTATTTACCTGTTCTACTTAAATAACATTTCAGAATTTGATAAAATGCCAAAACTACAAATCAGCTGATACATACAGGGACCTAAAATTAGTGCAAAAGCAGACAAGATACGCCAATGACATCATCTTTCATCGACATATTGTTGACAAAATAGTCAGATCTGGCATCGGCCATGTTTTCTTAAGAGCTTGGCCCCAACTACTCTCTGAAAATTATCTTGGAAATGATGATGAGGAAATCATTAACATTAATAGAAATAGTAATGGAGATGTAATTAACATAAAGGGAGATAAGGAGGAGAGTAGTGTAATGTATGAGAATGGTGAAATTAATAACTCAAGTGATTTTTCTTTCAAAATTTTTCAAAATTTACAACTGGTTCTGTCGATAATTTGGAATTGCACTGACTCGAGCGTGCAACTTTGTGAGAGTTTAGTGAAAAGTTTTGGGGTCCACCAGATCCTAACTGAACTGTCTAGGGATGAGCTAGTTAAATTTGATGTTGAGGAATCCTTATCTATGTTAGTTTGCAGAGAAAAATTATTTAAAAAATTTTTTTTGCTCGTATATATTTTTTTTGTTAACTTTGTGATTAGTGTTGATTTTTATATTTTAATTTATTTTAACCAGGCCCAGTGAAAAAGCATCTAGAAAAATCTACCTAATCAAGGCTTATTTAGGCATATTGCACAACATCACACGCCATTGCACTGACAGTAGAAAAGAATTTAAAAACATCCCATCCCTAAATTATTTAGTACCTCTGACTAAGATACCCCATGACGTCATTCGAGCCAAAACCTACCTGATTCTCTCTTACTTCATTTCTCACGACAACGATAATAACAACAACAACAGTAATAATTTGGGTAATATTGATTTAAATAATGATGTAGCTAAGTTTATTGTTGAATTACTTGAAGATGCTCTTGATAATGAGAATCATTTTTCTCTAAGGTGAGGTTGGCTGGTTGGTTTGTTCGTTGGATTGATAAATAAATTGATTGATTGATTGATTGGCTGCTTGATTAATTTTGGCTGATTGGCTGGTTAATTTGATTGATAACTCAGATATGCGTTTTGGGCCTGTGAAATAGCCTCAGGAATCAACCGTCTGGCTGTCGGTGACATGAATAAAGTTTGAGACATTACAAAATTATTTTTGTCAAAAAAAGTTTGAAAATATCAAAGATAAAACATTTGATATAAATATAACCAACCGACCAATCAATCTATCAATCAATCAACTAACTAACCAATCAATCAATCAAACAAACAATCAATCAATTTTTAGAATTTGCAACTTTTTTGATTCATAGAATAAACTGAAATAATTTAGTGCCAAATTTTCTCTTTGTTAAAATTAATTAACTCGTCTACATTTCTTTCCCTAAACAAGGTCAAATTAGGCAAATTGGGGATGTGCCAATTATACAATAAAATGATGGCGTCTGATAATGAGGAGGAAATTACGTTAGCGTCGGCCGGGCTTTGGATTTTATCGTTTCACCCTGAAAATAAAAGGTTGATCAAGTCCAATCCTGACCTTCTGAGAAGTTCGATTTTTAAATCTTCTTGATTGCATTTTCATCACGTTTACTGTTATTTTTTAAAAAATTGTTTTTCAGTTTTGAGTTGTTTCTTTGTTGTACATAGATCAATCGACTAACCAACCAATGACGGCTGACTTGTTATTTAAATTCAACAAATTAAAACTATCTCCACGTTTAAAATCAACCATTTAAAAGAACCAACCAGCCAATCAATATCAACCATTCAAAATTAAACGACCAATCAAAATTAGCCATTCAAATTCAGTCAGTCAATCAAAATCAACCATTTAAAATGTCAACCAATCAAAATCAACCACTTATAATGTCAACCATTCAAAATCAACCGTTAAAAATGTCAGCCAATCAAAATCAATCACCCATTTTAAAATTGACCAATAATATCCTAAGCTCTTGACCACTTGTCGAAAAACTGTCCAATAGAAAGCGTTTGTAGAGCTGCCCGAGGAACTTTATGGGTTGTCAGACCTCACCATAATAATAATAATAATAATAATAATAATGATAATATGGTAGATGAAATGATCAAAGTGAAGCGAAATGAGAGTTATAGTTGTAATAAAAATAATGACGACGACGATGATGAGGATGTTGGCGGTGATGATGATGCTGGGGACGGTGATCACGTGATGATTAGTTATCATTGGTCCTGTCAGAAGATGATGATGGTAGTGAGAGAGGAACTGATTAGGAGAGGGTATAGAGTTTGGTTTGATGTCAATAACATGAGTTAGTGACATTTTTGAGAAAAATATTTTTGTTTAATTTTTTGAAAATTTTATAATGTATTTTATTATTTAATTTTATTGCCATATTATTTAATTATTTTTAATCATCGTTAGATTATATATTAAAACATCAACCAAAATAAATTCGACACCGATTTATTAACAGCCAATCGAATTTCCTTATTTAAAAATCATTAAACAACCACCAATCCGATGTGAAGATTGAAAATTCATTAGCCTATAACATTAAAGATTAAAATTAATCAACCACTAGGAGGCTCTACATTAGAAGCAATGGCCTTGGCTGTTGAAAAATCAGCTGTAATATTAATTTGCATGTCGCAGAAGTACAAAGATAGCTCTAACTGTCGAACTGGTTGGTTGTTTGATTGGTTGGTTGACTGATTGATCGACCGATTGGTTGATTGTTTGATTGATCGACCGATTGATTGATTGATTGACAGATTGATTGATTAATTAATTGATTGACTGATTGATTGACAGAGGCGGAATACGCATTCAGACTACGAAAAGATATAATCCCAATAGTAACGGAAACCATGTACATCCCTGACGGCTGGCTGGGGATTTTGGCGGGAACCAAACTTTATTTCGATTTCAGTGTTATCAGTGAAAGATATTACAATATGAAAATGTCCCCGCTGTGTGATAATAATAGTAGTATTAGTAATAATAATGATATTAATAATAATAATAACGATAATAATAATACTGATTATAGTACTGCTGTTGCGACTACTAGTGCTACTAGTATTAATAATTGTAACGATAATTTTGGTTATAATAATGATGACGACGATGATGATGATGGGGGGAGTTATGATAATAGTAACGAATTGTTTCAACTGCAGATCAATAGGTTAGTTAGAGAAATCGGCGATAGGGGCTTAAGAAGAAGAAGAAGAAGTCGAATTTTGGCGCGAAAATTTTTTAAAAATAGTAACGACTTAAATAATAATAATAATACTTCTACTGCTTCTTCTTCTACTACTACTACTACTAAGGATCATCGCGACGACGACGATGATGATGATGGCTTAGATGTTGAAGAGCAACTAATAGCACAAGTAAATCAGCCCAGTCAACAAAAATCAACAAAACGATCTGGTTTTTTCAGAAATTCTATAAATACAACTGGGGGAAAACCCAGGGCTGATTCTGGAATCAGCACGGCGGAAGTTGCGAGTTCTATCATTAGTAACGCCAGTGATGGCGAGATTAAATGCCAAAAGTGTGGTGCGCTTTTTATAACTCCCGCTCATTTGTCAGCCAGTGCCAGCCGTCCGTACTTTAGTGTAAGCTCAACTTCTCCGGAGTTTGAAGGTATGATGATGATGACGATGGTGACGATGATGATGATGATGGTAATGAAGATGATGATGATGAGGTTTGTTGATAATTATGTTTTTCAATTGGTTTGAGTCAAAAAATTAAATCAATTTTTTTCGATTTTTCTTTTACCAGATACTTTCCATCTATCCGTTCCTCCATCATCATCATCACAACTGCAAAAACTCCCGACACTACTATCATCACCGACACCACTACACGGTTATGGTAATGATGTCAAACTCTGGTCTAGTTTGAAGGTTTCTGATTGGCTGAAAAAAATTGGCCTGGAAAAACGCATCACAAGGTGATGATGATGACGACGCTGATGATGACGCTGCTACTGATGATGATCAAATCTAACCTTTTTGTTTATAATTAATATAATTTAATAATTATCAATTATAATAAATTGAAAAAAATTTAATTTTCTCCAGATTTCATGGCTATACGGGCCCTAACTTGGTTCAGATGAGAAAAATCCAAAAATTGGCTCCAAATTATTTTTATTCTAGTCTCAGCGATCATCTACAATTGAGTTTTCTCGATGTTTTAATATTTTCTGAATCGCTAGATAGTTTATTTTCATAATTTTTGCGTCATTTTTCAATTCAAATTGTGATTGTTTTTCATTGATTGATTGGTTGGTTGGTTTGTTGGCTGGCTGGTTGGCTGGCTGGCTGGCTGGTTGTTTGGTTAAATGAATGATTGATTGATTGAATGTTTGACTGAATGATTGACTGAAAGATTGACTGGAGTGATGATGATTGACTGACTGGTTATATTTAGTTGAGCGATTTACGATTTTTTCATACAAGTTGCTTCTTAGTGTTTAAATCGTGCTTTAATATTATTATGCATTACAAATCAAGGCTTATGGATTATACATTATGAACACCACACACACACTCACACACACACACACTCGCGCACGCACGCACAGTTGAAATTAGTTATGCTGTTTTTTATATGTGTAATTAATTAACCATTATTAATAATTAATATATATATATATATAAAATAGTTTTTTCTACGTTTGTGAGTTATACATAAATTGTTACAACTCATTCAGCCAATCTGGTCATCTTTCTTTTAATATCTATTTTACTTTTAAACGTATCTGCTCTGTGCTTATTTACATAAGTTATTCAAACCCGAAGTTAAATTTCGTCTAAAATCTTTGCGGATAACTTAATTCTGTCCGAAAATTGTAAAAAGTTTGTAAATTTCTTTTCTCATTAGCTGCGAAGTTTGTGTGATTGAGTACGGCCAGTCCGTAGATTTGTTTTCTGTATTTTCTAAATGTGTAATATTTTTTTTATTATATTATTAAAATTAAATTAAATTTATAGTATTTATAGTTATATTTTATTTTATTGTATACTTATAATAGTTATTTAATAATTAATTATTAATATGTGTTTTAGAATTTCATTAAATTCAATAAAATTATAACATGGCTTGGTTGATTTATTTATTTTAATAATAAATAATGAGATAATCTCTTTCTGCATTTGTTTGCTGGCATGTATTATTTTTTTAAATTTTATTCTTTATCTTTGATTTTTTTTACTATACAAATACATATATATAGGTATCTAAAAAATAATATACTTTTATTTATTTCTTGAAAAAAGTTATAAAAGAATTTTTTAAAAATGGACGACTCTGAGAAGAAAGCAATGGAGATGATGGCCCAGGCCGAAAAGAAGTTGAAATCTTCGTCAGGATTTTTAGGATCTTTGATGGGGTGAGAAAAAAAATTAGGAATTCAATTCAATTAGATGTTCAATTTGGTTTCTGTATCATTATTTTATAATAGGTAGATGGTTTTTAAAAGTTTTTCATTTCATTTTTTTAAATGTTAGTGGCTTTTTAATATTTTTTTATATAAATGGTTTTTTATTTATTTTTTTAGAGGTAATTCTAAAGTAGAAGATGCTGCTGAGTTGTATACTAAAGCTGGACATTCCTTCAAAATGGCCAAAAAGTGGGGAGGTGAGTGAAGTTATTTCTAGGCTTACTTGCATTGCATAATTACTTTTTGAATATAATTTCACTTTTACTCGACAGATGCCGGAAATGCGTACAGCAAGGCGGCCGGCATACATCAGAGATTAGGGAACAAATTAGAAACTGCGTCCCATTTTATAGACTGCGGTAACTGCTTTAAGAAAGTTGACAGAAAAGGTTTACTGATTCCATTTTGTTTTTTATTTTTGGTTTTCTATCATCATCATCATTATCACTCCTGGTATCATAATTATCAGTTCTGGTGATGTTGGTATCACTGCTTCATCAATTATCATTATTTCAAGTATCATTATTTCAAGTATTATTATTTCAAGTATCATTATTTATAGTATCATTATTATCTTTTCGACAGAAGCTGTAAATTATCTATTGAAAGCCATTGAAGTATACGTAGACATGGTGAGTTAGTTGTTCTTTCAGGTTATCATTAAACCTTATTAACATAGTCTATTTACCAAATTTTTTAAAATGCCCTCTTCTTAACCTCATTAGCATAAATTATTCACACAAGTTAGTCTGAATTAATTATTAATATTAATTTAGGGTCGTTTTACCATTGCTGCCAAGCACCACATGGAGATAGCTGAACTCTACGAACAAGAACCTGTTGACATTAAAGAGGTGCCATTTTATTTGTTATTGTTATAATTATATTTATTATAATTATTATTATAATTCATAATTGTTATTATAATTATTATTATAATTATAAGGCTATGGAATATTACCAGAGAGCCGCTGATTTTTACCAAGGGGAGGAGTCTAATAGGTTGTTGATGATGACGACGACGACGATGATGAAGATAATTGTTATTATTATTGTTATTAATGATAATTATATTAATATAAATAATTATAATTATTGTTATTGTTATTATAGTTCAGCCAATAGGTGCTTGTTAAAAGTGGCGCAATACGCCTCTGAACTCGAGATGTATGACAAAGCTGCTACTATTTATGAAAATGTTAGTTCTCTGGCTGGCCAATTGGTTGATTAATTTAGTCGATTGATTCCTGACTAATTGACACTAATCCGCACATCCCTGGACCCCACAGATCGGCACCTCATCGATGGACAACCCTCTTCTCCGACACGGTGCCAAGGATCATTTTTTCAGAGCCGTGGTCTGCCGATTGTGTCAAGATGTGCAAGATGCAGAGAATGCTCTGGTCAAATATAGCGATATATGTACAGTCTTTGGTGACTCCAGAGAAGTTAAGCTTACTAAGGTTAGTAATTTAGGAGGGTGGTGGAAGATTTAATTTTTATTATTATGGCTGTTCTTTTTATTTCTATTGTTTTTCAGCTAGGTTTGATTGTTTAATCTTTTTTGTTTAATTTTATAGAACCACGTTTTTTTGATTTATCTAAACGTTCGTACTGTCAATGATAATTAATAATTTTTCTTCTCCCTAATCTAGGCTCTGCTGGCGGCCATTGAGGAAAAGGATGGCGAGGCTTTTGGCGCCGCTACCAAAGATTATGATAGTATCAGCCGTTTGGATCCATGGTTTGTTAAGATGTTCCTCAGAGTTAAGAAGACCATTGATAATGAATCAGATTTGTTGTGAGCTGTTTGATTGGCTGGTTGGTTTGTCGATTGATTGGTTGGTTGGCTAGTTCATTGATTAGTTGATTAGTTGATTGGTTGGTTTGTTGAGTAGTTTAGTCTTTTAGAGAAATGACTTGTTAGTGTGGTTGTTTTTTGGTGTGCTGTTGAATATGATTTTTATGATTTAGACATATAGTTGATGGATGGATGGATTGATTGATTGGTGATTGATTGGTTGGTTAATTAGTTGGTTGATTGATTGGTTTGTTGGTTGATTAGTGGATTGATGATTGGTCAAGTGAATCGCTGATTTCCTCTCTTGATTAATTGATTGAGATTTATTGAAAGATTGATTTTACGAGAAATTTTTTTTACGCACGCTACATTAATGTTTTCCATCAACTTAAAGCCAGCGTATACATTCCAATTATATTTTTCCCAAATATATATTCAGAAAAAAATTGCGACAATGATATTACTCCTTTATTCATGATCTTTTTTTGGGGGAGGCAGCGATCGAGTGAGAGTGAAAAAGAATTGCTAGAGAGTTTTTATCTTTCAATATTTAGATTTGTGTAAGTCTATATATGCGTTTTTCTTCTGTTTTTATTTTTTTGTATCATGTTTTATAGTCATATATATATATATTAGAAGCTAGTCATACATTTTTTCCGTAATGATATGAATAATAATATGAATTGTGAATAATATTAATAATAATAATTATTATTAATAGTAATAATTATTAATAATAATAATAATAATTATTATTATTAATAACGACGCCGTTTTTACTGCAAATCATTTTTTAATGAATTTTTTCGTCGTCTTTTCTATATAGATCCTCTTTCCCTTCATATTTGTAATCCTGCATAATTAATAAATAAATAATCATTATTATAACTATAATTATAATAATAATTATTATTATTGCTATTGTTCATGTCTTAAACGAAATCTTTTTTCGTTCATTCGCCATTTCTATCATGATAAAATGGCTTGTTATTTCTGTTGTTGTTCATTTGATAAGAAGAAACGCACAAACACACACACACACATATTTATATATATATATATATAATTTTATTTAATAATTAATATATATTTATATTAATAAATATAGATGAGTTATTTAATGAGAATTAATGGTAAATAAGTTTTCATTTTTCGGTATTTAAATATCTGCGACACCTGGTCACCATAGCAACAGAGTATAAACAAAAACCAACCACCTGTATCAAATTTTATTTTGAATGTTTTCTCCTTTCAAAATTAAGGAAATTATGGAAATTATTTTCACAATTGTGAATAATTAATTCATTGGTTTATTTTTTTTAATGATTTTTCGGCTGTTATAAATTACAAAATGAATTTTCGCGTGATCTTTTGGGTCCTTTCAAGTCTGGTCGGTCACTGTTTTTTTGATTATGCCCACGGAAAAGTGGCCGTTGGAGTGATCAAAAGTAACGTTAGTGAAATTAGTGAAATTTTTATTCATTTATTGAAATTATTTTCGTTCTTTCGTTCTTTTTTTCTTAACTTCTGTTTGACCGTTCATTCCTTGTTGCTCTTTTGATCCGTTGTTTTATTCGTTCGTTTGTTCAATTAGTTTGTTCTTTCTCTCAATCGGTCAATAATACATAAGTTCATTAATTCACTCATTCATTTATTCACTCATTTGTTCAATCTTTCTTTCATTCATTCATCCATATTCATTTATCAATTAGTTCATTCATCTATGATTTATTCATCGATCATTCATTCAATCAGTCAATCAATCATTCAATCATTAATAATTTAAACGTGATGTCGTTTAATGATAATAACTATAATAATCAAAAATATAATAATGATTATTATTTTTATTATTCAGTTAGGCTGGGAATTCGTGGAACGATTTTGCTTCTATCCAAACATTGGAAAACTTCACTTCACTTTCTCTTATCCAGTGGTCAGTTAGTTTGGAAAATAATAATAATAATAATTGTTTTTATTGTTATTGTTGCTGCCATTCATGGATGAAACAGGAGTAATAATAAAATAATAAAAAAAATTATAATGATAATTAAATAATAATAAAATTCATAATAATAAAAAAATAATTGTAATAATAATTATGACAGCAATCGACCTCACCAAAGATCCTAGTTTATCCAGATGCACTCTGGCCGACCGTCTATAAGAACAGTTCTAAAGTAATTAGCCGCTATATAAGTTTCCGTTGTCGGTTGATTGATTAATTGGTTGGTTAATTGATTGATTGGTTAATTGATTGATTAATTGGTTAATGATTGACTGGTTGTTTGTTTGATTTTCTGGGTTGCAGTTGGTTGGCTATTTTGTCTGTCGATCGGTTGTTTGATGATTGATTTATTGTTTCGTTCATTCATTCATTCATTCATTCATTCATTCATTCATTCATTCATTCTTAACAAGCAAACAATCAAACGAACGATTTTTTTCTCAGAATTGCCAGCAAAAAGTGGCGACAATCGACATCACCACCAATCAAGTTTTCTACCTGTCCCCAGCCGAGGCTTGGACGAATTGCCGCCTAGTAAAACCAGCCGAGAGTGCCTCCCTGATTGACACTGGTGGCACAATTAGGTGGGGGTTGATCGACCTGGCTGTCCATTATTTTATTCCTTTTTTCATTCGTTCGTTCGTTCATTCATTTATTCATTCATTCACGACACATTAACTAATGCTGGATTGGTTTATTGTTCGAACGATTGATTGATTTATTTATCCAACCATTCATTTATTTATTCATTTATTTATTCATTCATTCACTCGTTCATTCATTCATTCATTTTGGGTTGATTAGATGTAGCGCGGTCCTTTCATTCCTGTCATCCAGAGAGAGATGGTGGTACATGGTCGTCAGTGACTGCGGTCAGGTGAGGATGAATGAATGAATGAATGAATAAATAAATGAATGATTTAATGACTTATTTATTAATCTATTAATTAATTCATTCATTCACTTTAGCCGATCGATCTATCGTACGACCTCTTGTTCTTAAATGGCGATGGTATTATGACTAAACATTTCTCTGCTGATGAATTTTGTGAGTAAAATGATGGTGATGATGGTAATGGTGGTGGTGATGGTAGTGATGATGATGATGATAGTAGTGATGGTAGTGATGATGAGGGTGATGATGATATAAACTAATACTTACTGTTATAAAGGACTGACTGACTGAATGAATGAATGAATGTAAACATAGATAATTAAATGAATCTTTCCACGCCATAGATATTTTAGAAGTTGACATTGCTTTTTTGTTCACGTTCGCCACCATGTTAATTATGTCCCTGGTTTTCGCAAGTTAGTAATTATGATAATGATTGAGATAATATTAATAATAATTATTATTGTTATTATTACTATCATAATTTTATTCATAATTTTTTTGCCAGATAAGCTGAAAGAATTAAATTATCTTCACATTACTTATAATCTTTTTATATATTCTTTGCTCTTTAAATGCCTGCACCTTTTTGTGATTTGCATCGGTCTGGGAAAGTTTTCAAGTGACGGATTAGATGTCTATGGTGCCAAAGTTGTTGGTTGGTTGTTTGGTTGGCTGGTTGATTGGATGGTTGATTGTTTGGTTGGTTGGTTAGATGGTTGATTGGTTGGTTGGTTGGTTGGTTAGATGGTTGATTGGTTGGTTGGTTGTTCAGACGTATAATTATTTACTTGACTAATCGACAGACATTGCTTATCACTTATCATTCACATTCACATCTACCTTACCATCGTTCTATTCCAAGCCATTTCCTTCATAAATTTGCTCCCACCCACACAACCCCACACACAATTTGACGTCACCGAAACCCCCAGGTCATGTGATGGAGGCCATTTCTTTCCTAATTTTCATCTTACTCCTAATCTTGTTCGGGAAAGGTTTGACAATAACGAGGGGGAAAATAAGTATGACGAGCATGATAAAGATTACAGTCTTTATGATCCTGTACGTCTGTATCTACGTGGCGTTCTTTATATGGGAAGCTGTGGTTAGTTGGCTGATTGGTCGGTAGTTGGTTGATTGGTTGGTCGGTAGTTGATTGGATGGTTGTTGATTGAATGGTTGTTGATTGGTTGGTAGTTGATTGGTTGGTTGTTGATTGGATGGTAGTTGATTGGTTGGTTGTTGATTGGATGGTTGTTGAATGGCCGATTGATTAACCGATAGGTTGATTGACTGATTGGCTGGTTGATTGACTGATTGATTGTTTCATACTCTTACAACGCTCACAAACAACACAACAACAAAAAATCAACTCAAAAAAACTATCAACAATCAAACAAAAACAATACCAACAACAACAATAATAATAATAATAATAATTATTATTATTATTGTAACAAGGTTTTCGACAGAGCTCTGGTACTCTACCGTTATGAATCCTACCCTGGCTACTGCCTGCTAGTCATCCAGGTGACGGCCTGGCTCTGGTTCACTTACGCCACCTTTTTTACAGTTAAAAATTATCCTGAAAAGAAATATTTCTATTACCCCTTCTATCTTCTTTATACTCTTTGGTTAGTTTTGGAGATGAATGAATGGATGAATGAATGGATGGATGAATGAATGAGTGGATAAATGAATGGATGGATGGATGAATGATTGAGTTAATGATTAAATCGATGAATGAATGAAAAGAAAACAAATTTTGTTAGAAACAAGTGAGATCTATTTGTTCATTCGCACATTTATTCATTTTTCTATTCAATCATTCATTCATGCATTCATTCATTCATCTTTTTTTTATGATCCATTCGTTTATTAATTCACTCAATTATGTTGTAATAAATTATATTATGATCATAATTATGCCGAGTTATTATAATTATTGCCCAGGTTCTTGGCTGGCCCTATATGCGTGTTGATTGCCAATTTGGCATTGGATCTCTGGGTGAGAGAGAAAGTAGCCAATGGGATTTTTCATACAATTAATTTTTTTGGATACGCGTTCCTATTGGTTGGTTTAAATTTGAAAAAAAAATTGAATTTGCATTAATTTTATTGGCTGGTTTTTAAGTCCGTCTTTTATCTCATTGACCATCTAATTTAAATTTAAAAAAGTTTGATTGGCTTAGATTTTATTAGATTATTGAGGATTGGTTAATAAATATTGGTTAATTATTAAATATAATAATAAAATATGAAAATTATAATTATTATTTATTTTTTTCAAGTTTTTGACTCGCCCATCGAAGGCCAATAAAAATTTTCCGTACCACATTAAAGCAACGCAGGCCAGTTATGAATGAATGAATGAACGAATGATTGATTGATTGAATAAGTGATTGATTGATTGACTGAAACAATAGTCGAAAAAAGACGAATATGTAAATGACGAACGAATGAATGTACAAATAATTGAGAGATGATTGAATGGATGGATGAATGAATGAATGAACAAATGAACGAATGAACGAACGAATGAATGAATAAAGGAATGAACAAACGAACGAATGAACGAACAATTAAATGAAATTAAAAGAAGAATGACAACTAAATTTTTTATTTTGTTAGTATTAATTCTCCAAATTTACATCCAGATCGCCGCAATGCAAGAAGACAGCAACTCTGACAACAACAACAACAACGATAATGATAATGATAATAATAATAAATCTAATATTAATGATTTAGGCGCTAGTTATAAATCAGAAAATAATAATAGTTGGGGATTTCCCACAAACCGACAAAAGCTAAATTTAGAATTTTACGACATTTTTAAAGCAGCCGATAATAATGAGAAGGTAACTGGAAAAATAGATGAATGAATGAATGAACGAACGATCGAATGAATGAATAAATAAATGAATGAATGAATAGACAAATGATTGGTTGTTTGCCTGGTGCTCTAGCAATGCTTTTGATGAATGAATGAATTAATGATGAAATAATGTATGTATGAATAACCGGATGAATGTGAATGAATGAATGACCGAATGAATGTGAATGAATGAATGATCGAATGAATGTGAATGTGAATGAATGAATGAATGAAAGAATGAATGAATGAATGAATTATCATCATAATCATCAAAAAACTAACTTTTTTTGCAGGTCGCAGAAAAATTTTGAAGAAATTCGATCCAGAAAATCTCATTCAAAACAAGATCTGCACTAATGTTACTGTGATATTATCATTATAACTGCTATAATAACAATAGTAATTATAATAATTTTGATATTTATTGTTATAATTATTGCAATTATATTATTTTTATTATTTATACGTCAACTACTGCTGCCAAAAACTATTTCTCTGCCAAACTTAAATCTTCCACAAAGGGTATTGCTATTGTTATTATTGTTATTGTTATTATTATTATTGTTATTATTATTATTATTTATATTATTATTATTATTATTATTATTATTATTATTGTTTGTAGTATTTATTTTTATGCATTTATTTTTTCAGTTTTCTTATACCTTTCGAGTACCATATCATGCCAAACTATTAAATACAATTATGTGTGTGTGTGTGTGTGTGTGTGTGCGTGTGTGTGTTTGTGTCTGTACGTGTGTGTTTGCGTGCGCGCGTGTGTGTGCGTGCGTGTGTGTGTGAAAACTTATTATCTCAAAGTTAGAAAAACTTACCTAAATGAATGAATTTATGAAGTTTTTTTTAACCTATCTGTTTTACACACATCGGGGCATTGATGATCTTTCGAGACGAAATAAAAATTCATTTTTTCGGCTGTTTCGTCTTGAAATATTCGTAGTAACAGAAAGAAATTTCAGAATGGTTTCAACATTTATATATAGATATCAATACAAATCATTTTTACGATATGTGTGTGTGTGTGTGTATGTAGATATCCCGTGTATGTGTGTGTGCGTGTGTGTGTGATATTTTATATATATTACGCCATTTCATCAGTTCTATATTATTGTATTCCTACCAGTAACGATTTCATTAAAAGAAGATATTCCACAAAACCAATGGTAAATACTACTTATACTTCTGCTGCTACTGCTGCTGCTGCTACTGCTACTACTACTGCTACAACTGCTGCTACTACTACTACTACTACTACTACAAATAATACAAATAGTAATGTTGTTGTTGTTATTATTATGAAACTTGACAGCTGTTTCGCTTAACTTTTAATTTAGAATCTTCGGAAGTTTGTCTTCTGCTTTTAAATGCGAAACATTTTCTATAAGCGGAGTATGATGACGACGATGATGAACGTTGTTGTTGTTGATGTTGTTGTTGATGTTGAGGTTGTTGAGGTTGTTGATGTTGCTGTTGCTTTTTATAAGCAGACGATGACAATGTTTGTTGATGTTTTGAGGTCCGGAAAACCATTTCCTGCAGCTTTAAATCCATCTAATTTTTTATTCAATTTTAACATTTAATAATTTATTAATTATAAAATATTATGAAGAAATAAAATAATAATAATAATTATTATTATTATTAATAAATAATAATAATTTCCAACTTGCGATAAAAGTGCTGCAAAAATAATTTTAGGAACATCGCCATCATCCTTGGCCGATAGTTCAACGTACGCATTTTTCCAATCATCGGTCACAGTGTGTTCCGCCATTTTTTTATCCACCAAAGAATCTAAATCGCTTCCCTTCTCGGTTCTTTGTTTAACGTCAGTCGCCATGTTGTTTATGAGTTTTTTAGTGTCTTTGATTCTGCAATTTCCGGCAGATGATTTACTTGGATGTGATGCTTTGCAAATGGTCGTTTTGTTATGATTGTTGTTGCTGAAGCTATTATTATTATTATTGTTGTTGTTGTTGTTGCTGTTGTTGTTGTTTAAGTGATTATTCGTCTTAACTTTAATTAGCTCTGAGCGAGCTTTTCCATTATCCAAGTCCATATTAATTAACACAACATTTTTGCTGTTGTTATTGTTGTTGAGGTTGTTGTTGTTGATGCTGCTGCTGTTGTTGTTGATGTTGTTGTTTATTAGCTGATTGTAGTTGTTGGCATTTTTTGACGACGACGACGACGATGTTGTTGTTGTTGATGTTGTTGTTGATGTTGTTTCGTTAATACTAGCACCACTGCAATTTGTTGTCAGCGTTGTTATTGTCATCCTTCTAACTGCATTGAAAATATCCTTTGCAGAAGATATCGTTGTCATTCTTCGGGCCATTGTTATCGAAGTTGTTGTTGTTGATGTTGTTGTTGATGTTGTTGTTGTTGATGTTGTTGATGTTGACGATGGTGACTGAACTGATGATATGTCGTCGTGCGATTTACCATTGAAGCAACGTCGTTGACTGGCTATGGAACATTTGTTATTGTTGTTGGTGATGTTTTTGATGTTATAATTAAAGTTGTTGTTGATGATGTTGTTGTTAATGTTTTTGTTGATGTCATAATTAAAGTTGTTGTTGTTGTTGTTGATGTTGTTGTTAATGTTTTTGCTGATGTTATAATTAAAGTTGTTGTTGTTGTTGTTGTTGATGTTGTTGTTGATGTTGTTGTTGGATATTTTTCCTGCTTTAATCTCATTACCTACATGCACCTTATTTGAATTGGAGCAACTGCCAGAGGATATTTTTCCAGTATCGCTTACAATACTTTTCTGCGACTCTGCATTCTTCTTAGTCTTATTACTGTTTGTAGTAATAATAGTAGTAGCAGTAGCAGCAGTAGCAGCAGTAGCTACAGTAGCTGCAGTAGTAGTATTCGGCCAAAAATCTCTAATTTTTAGAATGCTATAAATACTATTACTAAAAGATTTAAACAATTTATTATTTCTACCACACCCATCCCTATTTTTCGGTCTGACGCCATTCATCTCGCAGCCATTTTGAATATCTTCACCTAAATCATTACGCGATGTTTTTGGCTCGGAATTTTCTCTAACTAGGTATTCACTGGGACAGTAAGTGGCAACACTAAACCTTGGGGCCAAGTTTTTCTTCCTATTTTCCGGATTTGTGAAATCTGATGTTAGCCTAGCTATCGCCGCGTCAATATCGGCATAATTTGGTGGGGATTGGTAGAAGTTTTTCATTAAGATTTTTTCTTTGAGTTTATCGCCGGAGGAATTTTTATTAGTAAACATGGACCGTCTTAGGTGTGATGTTGTCTCTATTTGGGTTTTTTTTCTGTGTTTAGTGAATAATTTGTTGCTGATGTCGTCGTTGTGGACGTTGTTGTTGTGGATGTTGTTGTTGATGTTGTTGATAATGTTGCTGTTGTTGATGTTGTTGTTGATGTGCAATACGTTTGTCGATGTTGTTTGATTTGAGTTTGCGCCGCGTTCCTTGTTTTTAAGTTTGCTGGTTTTGACGCCGCTAAAATAATCTTTGACATCATCATCGTCATCATTGTAATCAGCATCATCATCATCATCATCATCACCGCCATCGTAATCATCGTCGTCGTCATCACCATCATTTTTATCAATCCGAGAGACTACCTTCTTCATGACATTCGTCTCTGCCATAGCCGAGCAAGTCCTCCCACGCCAACGGATGTAACCAGACCTGACGATGACGTCATTGTACAAATCGTTCTTATTGGCTACAACGACTATTGGAACATTGACGCAGCCTTTTTCCTCCAAAATTTCCCGCCGAATTTCGCGAATTTTCTCGAAAGTCGACTGGTCGGCGAGGCTAAAGACTAGGACGAATCCATCTCCTGTTGGTGAGGGTTCGGGTTAGGGTCTGAAATTCTAATAATAATAATAGGAAAAAGAAGAAGAAGAAAAAGGAAAAGGAAAAAAGAAAGAAGAATAAAAGAATAAGTTTCACCAGAAGTTTTGTAGGGCAAACGACCTCCTAGGCACGTATGGATGGCGATCATAAATTCAGCAAATAAATAGCTTAGATGATAAATATGAATTATATATAATTATTTTTTTTATTATTGTTATTGTTAATAGTAATAATAATGTTATTATTGTTATATAGTTGTTTTGATGAGAGATAGTTTATGGGTGTTCATT